CACAGACACACACATCCATGCACAGAAATAAAAATAAAACAAATATTTAAAATGTAAATGAAAATGTGACACATCAAAATATGGGAGATAAGGGAAAAGGGAGATGATGCCTCAGGTGGCTAAGAGCCTGCTGTACAGGCATAAGGACCTCAGATGAATCTGTAACCCCAGATGAGGGACTCGCGGGACGGCAGACATAGGCAGATCCTTGGGTACCATTAGACAGCCATTTTAACCAATCAGTGAGCTCCAGTTCAGTGACAGACCCTGTCTGAAAAAGGTGGAGGGCTTATAAGACTGTTCAGAGGGGCATTTGTTCTACAAGTCTTGTGACCTGACCCTGAAATTTTCAGAAAGCTAGAAGGAGAGAACCAACTCCGCAAAGCTGCCCTCTGACCTCCACACACATGCTGTGGCACTCATGCCCACACACATACTTGGTGCATACATACATATATAATAGAAGTAAATATTAAAAATAAATAAACAAGGTAGAGTGACTGCGGAAGATTCCTTATGTCTATCTGTCCTCTCTACCCATACACACACACACACAGAGAGAGAGAGAGAGAGAGAGAGAGAGAGAGAGAGAGAGAGAGAGAGAGAGAGAGAAAACGAGCGAGCGAGCTGGCCTGCTGGCATGCACTGTAATCCGAGCACGCAAGCGGCTGAGGCACAGACCTCAGTTAAGGCCAGACTAGGCTACACGTAGGACTAGTAAGACCGTGTCAATCAATCAAACACTACCACATACACAAAAGGACAAACAGTCTTAAATGAGTAAATTTTCATTTCAGTCCCCCAGAAACAAGAGTGCAAAATAAACTTAAAACTAGTAGAAGAAAATAAAGAGAGGAGAAGAAATCACTTAAATTGGAAACAAAAAAGGAGAAAGCCAGTAAAACAAAAGAATTATTCTTTGAAAGATCATTAAAAAAAATGTTTAGGAAAAACACCCAAAGTAAAGACAGAAAAGCCCACAACTTCTCCACACTGGTGTGTAGCAGAGCCACCATTCTGGACACTGAGGCACATGAGGGAGAAGGCCACTGTGCCCACAGTCACCTTGCTGACTTCGGGTAGCCAAACACACTGTGTCTGCTTTCATTTCATGGCTACATTCCAAGTACTGGATGTCTGGATCTGTCAACAAGACAGAGCGCTTCACTTCCTCAAAAACTACCCGAAGTTAGAAAAATCAGAACAACCTGGTCACTCTAAGGAAAATCTGATCCAGGGCTGTGAGATGTTCAGCAGGGAAAGCCCCCTGCTGCCAAACTTGTCGACCAGAGTTTAATCTTTAGGACCCACATGGTAGAAGTTGTCCTCAAAGCAGTCCTCTGACCTCTACATGACACAAGGACACATGAATATACAAATACACACACACACACACAGAGAGAGAGAGAGAGAGAGAGAGAG